AGAATTTCATGCCGCCCGCATGATCCCAATTCCACCAGTGGGAGAGGATTCTCGTGGTGCATGAACTATTCCATTTCGTTCCGTTCCAATCCATTTTTGTACCTTCCCCTTAGCTTCTTGGATTACTCCACGAGGATTTCTTCCTCCTGCAAAAATGCAGTAACTGCAGGCGGCACGATCTGTCGTAACCCATTCCCTCCTCCTCCTCCTTAGCTTTCGAGTAGATTGCCAAAATTCAATTTTAACTTGTTATTGTACAGCAAACTTGGCTATCTCCCTCGATCATCCTAAAAATCCCTCGTCGTCATAGCAAGAATCAAAAAGTAGGAAAAATTGGCTAACCTACCGTGGTTCATAATCTTCGAACACACGTGCTATAACGACAATGCTAAATGCTACGTGATATTATATCACATTCTTTCTGCGAAACGTGTCACTGTATTCATGCTAACAATTAAAGGAAGTCACGTAGCTCCACCAAAATGGTATTTATTCATGGGAATAATTTTATGATATCTACGTTTCTCACGTTTTCCTCTCTACTGAAGTCGAGTGGAACCTGAATGGTGATATCCACAGACCCTTCTCATGCTTTTCCGCCGTTTACACTGGGGAACTAACTACGTAGATGAAACGAGTGATGCTCTTCCCAAAATCCTCAACCAGCCTTTCTTGAAAAACTTCGTTTAAAACAGGCTCTTAAATATTTATAGAGGAAGAGAGGGAGTTCCTTTCAAGGGTTTCATCGGCGGTCTACTCTGCTTCTTTTCTCATTTTCAATCAGTTCGGCGTCCACATTTTCATTATCGACCGCTGTCTTCACCAATACGATTTGGGGTTTGTTCAAAGGGATCCTTCGTGGAAAATTCTTGCAAATCTTTCTCAGCATGAATGTGTATCAGTTGTGATCACTGGAAACAGCACACAAAGTTTCACGCATGAAGATTCGGTTTCCGAAGAGAAACAAACTTACAAAAACTACACTCTATGGACAATCGAAGGTAATTCGGGCGGAGCCAAAGGCGGGGCATGGAAGAAGTCCGCAGGGCGCCTACGTATCAGGCGACGCAATGAAAGAATCGGGTTAAAGCGTGCGATTTTGGAGAGTAGAGACAAATCGATCGATAGAATAGGATGGAGTAGAAGTGTGAGATGTGAATGCAATAAGTCAAAAGGCCAGAAAGAGTTTCTAGTGAAGGCACTCCAAGAACCAAGTGGAAGCATTCCCGTCGCCAGCAACATTCGTGACAGATGTGCGGCGGTACTTCGAACGCGTAGCAGCCCCTTCGGGTTTTTCGACTTTTTTTTACCAAAACAAATGCAATTTTTCTGTTCTTTTCATTCTTATCGTTTATGGTAATCCTCAAGCCAGTGATTCATGGCTGAAATAGAAATCATGATTTTTTTCCGGAGAGGATTCTTTTAAAGTAAGCAGCTCTCCGGATTTTCACGTATTTTACAACAATAACCGCAACCGCCCAAATTCTCTGGTGGAAGGCCTTATGGGTAAGTTCAGTGAAGATGCTCCTTAAGATACGAGAAGCTGTTTTGAGAAAGCGCTTCACTTCTTGAATGAACAACCTGTGTATCAGACTTACACAACGGAATCCCTAAGTAGCTGCTGTGGCGCTATCCTAAGACGCTTCATCGCGGGGCTAAAATTTCCTTTTCAAAAGAATGCACTTGCTATGAAAATTTTCAACCTCCTCGACAAAAAGGATTCTCGAAACAAAGTTTCCAAGGTCTCTGAGTGGTCCACTTGAATCAAAAATGCAAAGATTCTAACCATAAGAGGGGAAGAAAAAGTGTTCAAACCAGTCCTTGTCATGCGTCCATTAAGGCCAGAAGACTACACAATCAAGAAATGACGAACATTCTTGTGTTGATCACCTGCCGCACTTATGGGTTAGATGGTGCTTGAACTCCAGCAACAAAGGCAGCCAGTTCAGAACCAGTGTAAGGACTCCTTCAGAGAGAGCGAGGATCGACTGGGTATCCTGGTTGAGAAATGGCATTAAGTGGGATCTAAAGTGCATTTTTAAAAAGTTACAAGTAGGAATTCAATGGAAGCCAAGAAATTGTTGAAGAACATTTGTTTTTGTCTTCCTCTTGAAATATCCTCCGCAGACCTCTCCTCCGATTCACGGACTTTCCAGGGATGAGATGTAGTTTGTGGTATAATGTAGGCAATCAACGTGGGAGTTTCGTGCCCCCCCCTGCTAGAAAGCCCGCACTGGCTCCAAATATTTCTCAAGACATTCTTTGTTCACTACATCTAGTTCACAGAAGCACCATCATGAGTAAGTAAGAGACGTGCAGGGTGACTGGAACCGGTGTGGGCGGGGTCTCTCAGAAAGGGCGGGTAATGCTGGCTGTGACTGCTTTCTGTGTCGAAGGCAACCGGCTGTAAACTCGCTAACTACGGATGCAGCTTGGGCTAAACTTTCGAATACGGGCACACTTGGGAAGATTGGTGTGCTTTCTCCTATTTAAATTAATCTTATATTCCTGATTCAGGAATATTAGAGTTCTCCGACTCGTAATAGTCAGTATCATTATCGATACCGTCCTAACTGAACACTGCTCACGAACGGATCCGGCTTGTAATCCCTGAACGACATGAATTCAACATTGTCGTAAAATACACAATGATGTCCGTATCCCCGCTTTCGTCGCCGTTTGGGAGAGATAGCTTCAAGTTACAAAGAACTTCTGTCAACCCAAAGGTTATGAGCGTCTGTCAACCCAAAAGTGAGAGCGTAGCTGGTAAAGCACAAGCTTTGGATTTTATTGGGACTAAGCGTTTTGTAGAAGATAAAGAATGAGGAATATGGTGATAATGTGCACTTGTGAGAGCTCCCAGACATCACTACAAAACGCTTGAACCGCGCGAAAGCGCTCACCGTTGGCAGAGATGTCTCCTTGAGACCCAGCTTCAATAAATCATACGATTTGCGAGGAAGGATCTGGATACTGTGGCGCAATCTCAGAGCGGGCCTGATCTACAGTAGAGAACTCGAACCTTTCTCAAACAGTAGGTGAGAGATTTACAGGAAGTAAACCTTTCACATACTAAATTTTCAGAAATGATCTACCAAAATCAGTTTTTGACCAGTTGGTCGTCAATTATGAGAGGGGCAGTGTGGCGCCAAAGATTTAAAGTTCCTTAATGTCATCCGTTTCACCCGGTTGCTTCTACAGTTTGCTTTGAGTTTTCTATTTTCTTCTCACTTAGAAGTTAACGGCACGGCATCTTTTGCCCGAACAATATCAGCAGCTTGATATTTAACTCGCATAATTTGTGCGAGTTCTCTTTCACCAAGTTCTCCAAACGCCTCTCACTCAGCCTCCAACGCTCCCCATGTGGAAGTTATTTTCTTCCCTGTATGGATTATTGATTTTGATTGAAGTTCGACTTCTTGGATTTCAAGGTTGTTCAGTGTGACCGAAGCATCACTGAGTATGAACAAAGATGAAGTAAATAACATGGTGAAATTTCTTACGCTAAACAATCGATTCCCTCCTCTTCTCACGCTTAGCCCTGAAACTGACAGTTCCGTGACCCTGAAGCAGCATGTTACGGGCTGTTCCGGCCCAAAGAGCCACATTGCGCAAAAAGTAGTAATCATCATATTTGGTTAAGGCTCTGATAAATGTGATGCGATTTTTTTTTTCATTCACAACCTTTTTTAGTCTGGTTTTTGATCCAGACGGTTCATGTTTTTACTCCCCAGACCAGTCCTTAAAATCCTTATGGTTAAAGGGTCAATGTCCTCAATCGCCTTATAATGTCACAGGGTCTCAGCGTACTATCACCATCTGTTCCATTGTGTAGTTTGATCGATTCGGACTTTCCCATCAGTAAACCTGGTGGATTCCGTCAGTATCGAAGCGCCACGTCAGCTCCAGTCCGTTCTGGTTTTACTTTTCTTCCATTTTATCTTATGCTACCCTTTTTCAACGCGGACCGCTTGAAAGCTTCTCCTACAAAAGGGTGACGTTTCTCTTTCTTGTTTTTTTGTTTGTTTCTTACTTCTCAGGGCGTTTGGCTGGAATGGGGCCTCAATGGTCGTTAGGGGGAACATTGAAGTGAGCTATTTATACATCTTGGGACCAAGCCTTGGGGAGGTGAAGGCCTCTGGAGGGGAACGTTAACAATCCTTGTTTTATCTGGACGTTTTCCTCCCTCGTCTGGGTTTAGTACTAGTGTCACTGACCAGCGGTTTTTGAATACCCTGTTTTCAATTGCCATCTTCCCTCTAAGGACATGAACGCCGGTGGAAGAATTTATTCTGGCCAACGTTTCGACGGTCCTGTCATCTTCAAAATCCTATACATAGTTCAGAGGCGGAGGTGGTGTAGATGACAAGTGGCGTCACTTTCGAAGTGCACGGTCCGGTGGTCAAGTCATCGATCGATTTAACTCGCCCCATGCTTTCCACTACTCCGGGGTTGGTCAGTTAGTGCCAGACGTGTCTGGCCGATTTCACTCTCTGCGAATCGAGCGATTCGCTAGCGTCCGCGGTCGCGTCGTGTATGGCGAATCGAGTCACTCGCTGTTTCGCGAACGCGCGCGGACGCCAAAGTGATTCCTTGATTCGCAAAAGTCTAACCCGGCCTCTGGGAGTATAAGCACGTCAACTTTTTCCATCGGCTGCCCCTGGAAGCTAATGAATAGACAATACGATATTCGAGTGCTACTACATTCTGGGATGGAAGTGAGATGCGCTTCACAAAAGGTATTAATCAACGCCGAGAGCTTTATTTCCTTCCTTTATTCTTTGAACATGGCTCGAGACTCAAGAAATGCCCATCACCCATTCAAACGCCTCTTGATGCTGACTACGTGTATGCCTTCTTTTTCGCATCCATTTATACCAATCTGTTATACCATCATTTTGCGTGTGATGCAATGCATTATTATGCGATTATTTCGCGAAAGTTGTGTGATTTCGTTTGCTTTTATTCTTTATCGTTTCCTATAACGCAAATGTTATAGGCATGTCTGCAAAGGCGGTCAGCGAGGCGAGCTTTCGGGCAAGGAACACTGCTATATCGATATCGAATGTAGTGGTCTAGTTGACGCACCGACGGCAGTTCGTCTATCGGCTGGCGATGACTTCGACACAGTCGTTAAAGGTGTGACGTGGCTAGGCGGACCACAGGTGAGGAACCTTCTGTCTGCCTTATAGAATTACCAAGTAAATGTAAGCCATGTCTTTTTTTCCCTTCAGACCGGTCTACGCGCATATCGCAAAAATTATAAAGTGCTGCACGAGATTTGGCCAAAGTGGCTCTAGAGAGGGACCCTAACAGGGGAAAATGGGTCGCTTTTCAAGGAGCATGGATCCATTTTGAAATGTTGTATGAGGAACCGTGTTCATTCTTTCCTCAACGCCGGTTCCAGTGGGGGAAGAAATGGTCCAAAGTTCGATCCTCCGTGATGACAAATTTTTGCAATTTATGTTGGCGCCTCCAAATTGCCGCAAAACACGACAATGACATCTATTCTCGACGATGGCGCCATTTGGCGGCAATCTGGGGCGCCAAACTATATTGCAAAAATTAGTCATCACCGGGGATCGAACTCTGGACCATTCTTCACCACTGTTTTGACATTCCTGGAGGCGTTCAGGAAAAATGGATCATGGTTCTGCATTCCTTACATCATCATGAATGCAGGTTTTTTCCAGAAAGCTAGGGTAACTCCGAGCCAGGGAGTGTAGCCAGTCTAGGGGTGGGGGTGAGGGCAGTCACTTGGCATGCGTGAAAAGCTGGAATGTTCGAGTTTTGCACTAGTTCGCCGAAGAAGCTGCATCATGATGCCCCCCTAACTGGAATAGACCCTGCCTGCTTCATGCGTCCTCGTCTGAGTCCCTAATAAAAATGCAGAAAACCATTCAAGTGCTCCAATGTCCTGAAAGATCTCCCTTGTAACTAATGAATACGACCTGCGCGAGCCTCAGGAGAGGGAAAGGTTTTCTGCGCTGCGTAGCGCTCTCGGAAAACGCGTTTCTTGGTCATGGTAATAAGGCGTGTGCACTAAAAACACGAATTGGCACTCATTTCGCTATAATGGCTCTTTGAACGCTTGTCAGTGATGTGACCTGTAGTTGGATGGTAGAAAAGGCGGAACCGAGAACCTTTGGGGCCCTATGCGTGCTCTGGTTTCCCAGCTCGGGTGGTATACCTGCGATGCGCCTTTTCTGCAAGAATAATCATTTCGCGGAAGAATTTTGGAAAAATGTTTCAGAATTCGTCCTTGTTTTTTGCCATTGAGTAGGCAGCTTAAACGTATGGTGGCCACTGTCAGTGTTGCCAAATTTATGAATCTCCTTCAAACTCTTTTTTTCAGAAAGCAGTGAAGTAAACAGTCGATAAAACGGCGTGGAAAACATGGTCTGGTCAAGTGTGGAACGGTGGACGAGATAAAGAAGTGGTTCCAAGAAAATGTGAACAAATCCGTTCAGGTAAGCGATTGCCTCGGAAAGCAAGGATAGAACGCTTCGCTTGCTTTCTAGTTTCAGTGCAACCTCATGATAAAATGATTCAACCAAGATCACCACATGACGAGCAATTTACACAGTTTCCCCGAGCTAATCTTTAATCCCATTCTAATACTCTGATTGAGAAAAGATTCCGGAACTCATTAGACACCTCTCCAAGGGACGGCCGATGCAACGTATCGTCTCTGCTGTAAGTTGTCAAGCTAATTTCCGTGCTTGCAATACTTAAGTCCTCAGGGTAAGATGATGGAGACATCGGGGTCTCATTCCAGAAATAGGGCACATAATTAATGTGAACAGGTTTATATCGACTACAGAAATGGGTCTCATCCAGTAAGGGGGCATGTTATGTGACAGTTTATATCGACTGAATGTAATCCAATTTTTGAAGGGAGGGAAGTTCCGGGATGGGTGTCAAAGTGTAAGCGGGGTGTTTCACGCACCCCAGGGATTTCCTCCCCTGCAAAAATTGGCAGCAACTGTGACACCACATCCCCTTTTTGGATGAGTCCCAGGAATGTGAGGATTTCCGAGAGCGTTCTACTTTTTGTGGAATTCAAAAATTTTGAGCGTGGAGTGAGCTTCATATTTCTACTTTTGATCAGCCCATTCATTTTCCAGATTGGAAAAACAACTGGCCGTCTTCACACATTCATTGTGGAGCCGTTTGTTGCGCACACAGATGCAGACGAGCTGTACATTGCCATATTCAGTCAGCGGAATAATGATGTCATCATGTTCTATGAGCATGGTGGTGTGGATATTGGAGACGTTGATCAAAAGGTAGTCATATATTGTACATGAATTGCAGAAACATTTAAATATTGTTGAACTTTCCTATTTGAATCACTTGATCAAGTTCAGGCGCGATCAGTGAAAATTGAAGTATCGTTAGATGACAATGAGATGGTGCCAACAGAAGCTCAACTCAAACAACTCATTGGAAATCTTAATGACAAAACAACGTTAGTGATTACCGATTCAGCAGTTATACCTTCGAAAATCACGTCTTCTTCTAGGGTTCTCAAAACTTTCATCTCATCACTTTACTCTGCCTACAAACAATTACACTTCACTTATCTTGAAATTAACCCTCTTGGTGAGTTTGTTTTTTTATGTCATTATCTTTTATTTTCTAATTCACGGTTTGTTTCAGTTGTGAAAGATGGCAAGGTATACATTCTTGACCTTGCTGCAAAGCTTGATGAAACTGCTAACTTCTTGTGTTCTGACAAATGGAAGACACGATCGGGTTCATCTGTGGAATTCCCTGCTCCATTTGGACGTGACCTTACAAAAGAGGTAGGTTTTCGGCTTTATTATTAACATTCCACCGAATGAACGCGCATAGACAACTGAGTTGCATTTTATATCCTCTATTCGAATGCTACCAAGTTATTGCTACTGCTGGATAAGAATAAATGGCAGCTGTGGAATCACCCATAGAATTTGTTTGTTTTCTCGCTGTTACTCCTGGGCCTAATTTGCATAGCTGCACATAACAGTGCGTTCAAGTTTCATTATGCTTCCGTTGAGCTGGATTGGACTGATTAGCTCATCCAGTTGTTTGAACTCCAAATTGTCCTTTGTGGATTCCTCAAGAACTGCAAGGCCTGCTTCTTACGACCCGGTCGGAGTGATGAGTTTGAGTTGGGAATGTAAATGGGAAGCCCTTTGGTCTACAGATCCCAATATTAACTACCTTCT